TGCCAGAACTACAAAACCCCTGGTCTTCAGTTAACAAATTGAACAAATATGCAGGCACAAACACATCGTGTTTCTCACTCTTAGGTGAGCTATTCCTGCATGTGCAGGGCTCTGCACTTTTGTACCATGGAAAAGGAGTGTTTTTTCGTATGCTGTGTAAAAATGTCAGTGTGGTAATTCAGTTTGGTGGTCAGCAGAAAACTTAAGATCTTCATTAATTAATATGTTACCTTAAAAGAAGTACATCTCCAAACTCTCCTACTCAGCATTTTGCAGGGAGATGATTGTAGACCAGTACAATGGTAGCTGATTTCTTGGCATGATTGTATCTTTCCTTGTATTGCTTGCACTTCATAATTTTACCACAGCATCAGTAAAAGACCCAGGAAAATGAGACCCTGTAAACTATTACGTGACCGAGCCAGTAATTAAAAATGAAGGAGTAGTGAAAAATTCCAGATGTTTTGAAGACTGTTTCTGAGTTAGCATTTTATTCAGACCCTGTAGGTGCTTAGATAAGCAACAATTGTTAAAATCACTCTAGAAAGGAAGGGGCTGCATGTTGTCTTGTCTGTGCACTCAAAACCAAGAGTTTAGTTCATTCTCTTAGCTATTCTGCAAATACATGTAACGGGTACTGCTCACTATAACAATAGACACAATTTCTGCTTTTGTGCTGGTACTCACATTCTGGAGAGACATCTGCAAGCTCAGTCTATACCTCCAGGTGCTCACGCGTTGCCTTTGCCAGTTATTTCCAGTGTCAGAACATAGAAGCTGCCAAAGTCAAACTCATAAGCTTGAGCACCAATACCCACACGGTGACAGTTTCTGGAAAAGTCTCACTGTAAGTTCTGTGTCTGGAGGTGCTTTCTGATCACTGTACATCGGCTGACAAGCACAGCCCCTCTCCCTGCTGTTGATAATCACTTGCACTGTGATGCTTCTACCTTAGGGACTTCATTGGTATTAATCTTCTGTATATACCCCATGCCTGCCTGTCCTACCTATGTTGAGTAAGCATTGCTGGCTATATATAGTAATTGACAGAGCCTGGGGGACTGTCAAGACTCGTTAGCGAGAACTAATCTGCTAAACTGGGAAGGACTGATCTGTGCTTCCTCTTGAAACCAGCAGGAGTCTTTCCATTGATTTAACAGGGCTTGGTTCAAACCTCCACCTTTTCTCCTGCACATGAGCGAGTTATTATTGACATGACTTAATCTTTTAAGATACATCCCTGTGTGTGAAAACTTTCAGGGATGAAATTATTTTTTCTAGTCTAGAGGCAGCTTTTTGAAACTAGAAACAAAACAATTGCCTGAGTAACTAAGCAGTGTTTTTCAAATAAATGCTGAAATTCTACAAACAGTCCAAACAGAAGCTCTACAGTTTGCATGGGAAAAGACTAACATGACTGCTAGGCTGCTTGTTTGTTTGCTACCTGGCGCAGAGTTTGCTGGGAACTTCTGATCCTGCTCTGAGTGCTATTGCATAAAAATGTAAGCAGGACTCCAGTCTTCACACCTCCCCTTTCACAGCACTGTGCGGTGCTGGATGCTGCAGGAAGCAAGGCGGCTTGGGCAAAGACCATTTTCAACAGCAGAATGAATGAATAAGCTTTTTATGAAAACTGATTAGAAACTAACTGAATGGGAAGGAAATTAAAACGGGAAACCAAACAAGGTGGAAGGATGGAGCTGGAATCGATCTGGCCCCATTCACTTGAGCGGACCGTGGCAATGGCAGTCTGTCCCAGACTGACCAGTGACCCCTGTCTGGCAGCTTCCGGCCAGGAGCTGTGGTTGTTAGTTCATCCTCTGCTTCATGGGCAGCTCTTCCCCCTCCAGTTTCTCTCCCTGCTCATTTTGGCTTGGGCCTTGAAATTCTTGCTTCTTTTGCCACTCCGAGTGCCACACCAGCCTGGGCTGTGGTGTTGGTTGTTACTGCGCTTTCAGCACGCTCAGGGCAGTCAGGAGATGTGTGCAGCTCGCTGGAGATTTGGTGGTCCAGCAGGTGGCTGGCAGAGATTTCCTCTTCAGCACACGCCTGGCAGACGTGCCTGCTGCGCCTGCCTCCTCCTGATTCAAATGACAGGCTCTACAGTGTGGTTGAAATGACCACAGAACAGCACTCCACCAGCACGCAAAGTCCCTTGCAGGGGAACATTTCTCCAGTAGTGACAGGTCAGGAATCCTGTTATTGTAGGTACCAATCCTTTGCCACACAAATGTAGGAGAGAAAATATAAAAGGAGTTTCTCTTTCTCTACTGGTGATTTTTTTTCTCAGCAAACTGCTTTTGAACTGTAGAAACTAATTTCAGAAAGCTGAATAGATTCTGCTTAGCATCTCAGAAAACATTGAAATGGGGAATTTTTCCAATAAGTTCCCTTTCTCACAGAGCATCCTCCGACTTACTCAGAGTGCAGCATGAGAGGGAACGTCATGGAAGAGAAACCACATAAGCAAAATGTGAGCTCCATATGTAGCTTTCCGTTAGAGAGCTTGGCATTAGACAGTCTTTCATCTGCAGAAAGCAGCACTTTACTGTCTGATTTCCCATTGACTCCCTAGTTGTATTTCGTAATGAGATTCCCTGACTCCTAGAAAGGACGTGGAAAAATTACCCTGCTTGAAACATAACACTGGGGAAGGAAATTCAGTTCTCAAGTGAAAAGCAAGAAGCTAACGTTATTCCTGCTGGACATGTGGCGGACCTGCTGGACATGTGGAGGTTTTGAAGCTCATGTTTGTGTGCTGGCTTTAACAAGCTAACCGAAGTGAGGTCCCATGGGTGCCGTCCCCCAGGACGTTCTGACCTTGTGGAAGTCATGGATCTTCTCCTGAACAAGTCCCTTCTAGTCCCTAAAAATATATGGCTAAATATTCACGTGCCAGTCTTGTGAGCAGGACAGGTTTTGACAGCCATAGCAGAGCACACTGTGGTTTGCTTATTTCCAGAAGTCACTGGCTTTTGTTGCTGGCATCTGAGTAAACAAGGCATCTGCTTCCAGGAGAGAAAACACCAGCAGAATCTGGCCCTCCATACAGTGAGAAGTAATACATTGAGCAGTTGATATTTTTCATGCATTTCTAATTTAAAGTATGTATATACAGCTAGTGTGTCCTGTTCCAAATTCTGTTTGTATTTTCCTTTAAATGTTAACTTTTGCAGTGCTAGGGTCTCTCAGCAACTGACAGTATATTTGTGGTCTGACAGGGACTGAATTGAACCAGCCAAACTGTAATTTCTACAGATAAAGATTTAGAGTAGGTGGTGTCATTTCATACTTTCTTTGTTTCCCTAATAACCTTTGGCTGAGTAATCTTGGGGTGGGGGGGAAGCTTTATCTTCTGGAAAGGCTGTATGTGAAGTGACACCAGGGCTGTCTGCTAATATCAGAGAACAAGATTCACATCCCTAGGGCCCGGTGCTGCCCGCTGTCAGGAGTCAAGAATTTCACTGACTGGGATGGACTGATCTCTTGCCTGGAAAACTAACAGCTTGTGCAGATTGGGACAGGGAAGCTGCTAGCTCACTATACAGCCACACAGCAGCCTTCAGATTAAATGTTAAATAAAGAATACGTGTTCTTTCTGTCACTTTTATTGACACAAAGTTGGTTTTAAAAGAAAATCTACTACAGCAATGCCTTCAATACCTTAGTAAGAGTAGCCAGTTGACAGGTATCCACCTCAAACCTGCTCTGGAAGGAATAACTTTTTTAGATTACTGAGATATAAATTAAATGACCCCACTAAAGCCTAAGCATAAGCTGCACTAAGAAAAGTAGAAATGATATTTTGCAAGTTCCAAAGAAACTAAATTGAAAACCAGCTCTATTTGCGTAGCCACCAGGTAACTTGCTCTTTAGCCCGGTCATGTCACAGCAAATTCACCATCACGAGGAAAGCATTTGTTTCATCGCTGAGTAGTTTCCATGGCAGTGGGAAATGGCTTCCTGAGCAATGCGCAGTTACAGATGCGATGTGGGGTCTCTGCAGTTCTCAAGCACTTTGCCATAATTAATTCCAGTGGAGCTGGGTCTTAACAGGCACTTGTGTCAGGAATTGAACAAGAGCAGCACCTCTCCACAGGGATTACTCAACATCTCACAAAATACAGGGCTTTTATTTTTATGCCAAGAAATAGCTCCCAGACTTGAAGTCTTGTAAGCTCAGAATTTTCTTTTATTAAAAAAAACCACCTTAGCTCTTCACTAGCTTAGTTGCAGGTATCGGGCCCATATAATTGGATCCACAGGCTACATTCATAGCCTGTCTGGATCCTTTACAACAGAGGGATAGAGCTGGACTTTAGAGATCCTCAGGGTTTAGCATGGTGACAGGGAAAATGCTTCACCTAAGCCTTGCAAAGTCCTGAGAGTGGAAAGGGGTGTGAATCCCAACCAGCGCAACGATTTGGCCACTTTATTTTGCTCTCTCTCCAGCTACGACTGTACCAAGGAAAGGCAAACACAGTTTCCTTGGCCTCAAAACCGAATAGGAGTGACTACTAAAGAAAGCAGTATCAGAAAGAGGATTTTCTGCCCTTCTTCCTAATTTATATTGCAAGAGTTCACTTCTCCCAGAGGAAGGCCATGTTTCCATTCCCAATTCTGCCTGAGATGACTGAACCTTTCCTGCTCTAGGGACTTAAGGCCACATTCCTTATTTTCCTGGGCTATTTTTGTGTTACAGATCTTTGTGAAAACTAGAGCCTCCAAGTGTTCTCAAACTGAGAACCTTAAAGGTGGAAGAACTGAAAAAGTACAGTAATTTCTGAAAGTTTAATAATTCCTTTGTTCTTTCTGGTTTGCACTTTAAAAATGAAATAATGTATTTTTTTTAATAGTAGAAGATATTGGAGAAATAGATATATTTCTTACATTTATATGGAATGCGTGTGTATTTCATGTGTAGTTTGTATCATGCTGATAGAAAGGACGGATCTTATAGAATCAGCCTTGTCTGTAGTGGGAGATATATTGGCAAATATTTACTTTGCATGGGAAGCTGCAAGCTCCACTCTGTTCCGCAGCAGTAGGAAGTCTTGTATAACTGCTGGCATTCTTGAGAGGGGATTCCAAAACAACTTAGCATCCTGCCCAACAATGTAATGGGCACGTGGATGGAGGCTTGTTAGAGCATGCTCCATGCACTGAACAACTGGTGAAATGTCCTTGTTAAGACAGATCTTGGAGAGCTTTTCTTTCTTTGCGGCATCTGTAAAACTCAAAAAAAGAAGATCACTTAGTGACAGCCAGGCAAGGTGACTTTTAACTCTTACCCCCACGCTGATCTGTGCAATTTCACTAAGGAATTAGTATTTCTTGTTCCTCCTTACACAAGAATTTGTAGCATTTTCTGAAGATCAAGTCGCCATCCACACTCACCTTGTGATATAGTTGACCCCAAGAATGGTCTAGTTACCCTTAATTGTGGAACAGTCGTGGCAAAACCGGGCCTGTATGGTCTGAGGACAGGCAACCAGCACTGACAGTAGCTCAGAATAAACTTAACTATGTTAGAGGCAAAGGGAAATAGAAATGCTGTAGTTGCAAATAAATCTCCTGTAGTACAGAAATTGCTTTGTGGCAAGTTGTGAAACACGATTGTAAAGAAGAAATTTGAGGGACAAGAGAGCCCAAGGATCAAAAGACAAGCAGCCCCTGTTAAAGCAGACTTAGTCACTGTCTGTCAGATAGTCCTGGAATGTCTTCATCACCATTGGGGCTACCAGAAGCAAAAGGAATTGATCCCTATTTGATTACTAAATAAATAAACAACAATGACAGAAAAACAGATCAAGCACATTGATTACATCATCAGATAAAAGTTTTTCTGTTTGGGAGTTTGCTCAAAAGCTTCATGCCAACAAGAATAATTAATCTTTAACTGAGATTTGAATACAGCTTCTAGAACAAGTCTTTTGTGCGGATGGTCATATTGTGATGCAGATGCATTTGAAGAGTAACTTTTCACATCACAGTCTTTCCAAAAAGTCAGAATTATTAGAAGATATAATGCTACTTTGCAAGGCTTTCTCAGCAAGAAATGTTTTGCTTGTTTTGATGCAAATGTCGGGAAGTTGCCTCACCTTTCTGAAAATACTCCTCTCCATATTGCTTTTTAATATCAGGGGAGAGCTTATTCCAAATAACCTCCTTCTCTTTCATAATCTGTGCTGGATTGGTTAATGCTGTTTTGAACAGTCCAGGTTGAATGCAACAAACCTTAACTCCAAAAGCTTTCATATCTCTCCTGCAAAAACAGCCCAATCATTTAATCGCATTAGACATTATTATTAATGCTGTGGGATTTTTTTTCTGTACTAACACTTTTATTTCTGTCTTTACATGGCACACCAGCACACAAATACTGTGAGGTTTGTTCACGGTTGTGAACTTTCAGCTTGTTATCCCTAACTGAAAGAGGGATAAACTATCTTGCCTGCTTTCACAGAGTGAGAACATGCGTGGGCAGTGACAGTGCAGTAGTTGGCATTGTGCATTTCACATCCTAGTTCAACTTGCAATAGCTCATTAGTTATCTGACTTGTCAGTAAGACTGGCTGGCTGCCTAAATGCAAGTATGTATAGCCATTTTACATGTCCTAGGGAATTCCTCTTGACCTCTGGCTGATGCTCCAGATTGGTACAGTTCCTTCTGGCCCCATCTTGTATCTGTCAGCCCAGTTCAGGTATCCCGGTATCTAACATGGCACTATATTTTTAGGCACACAAATTGTTCCCTCTCTGTGTTACAAGAAGAAGCCACGGTGGTCCCCAGTATTAGTTTGCTATCTTCTCTAGATCTCTCTAATGATGGATATAAATAAGAGAAGACACTTTGGAGAACAAAGCTTAGACAAACGTTACTATCATGCAATAACTCATGGTATGTATCTTTTCTGGATGGGCAGCTGATGGAAATTTCTTGGTGCACTTTTAAATTAGGAAAATTAGACATCTCCGTTCCCTTGGGTGGTGCTCCTCTGCCATAAGGCCTCTGTGCACACCAAGAAAGGTTAGTTGTGAGTCTACAAGATACTTGAGGACAGCTTGTGTGCCCAACAGTCTTCGTACCTTAGTTTTCAAAAGTGCCATAACCTATGTTGAGCAAAGGCACTTTTAAGAAGAATTAGTCCTAAGTGTTTAGTGTTTTTCAGTTTTATACCAAGTGTCAGGATTGTAAATCAGCTCCTATTCTGCATGTAACAGTTTTTAGTTAGTATGTGAGCCTTCAGAAAAAAAAAAGTGTGGTCTTTCCTCATAGTGAGTCTTGTACCTTAAGCTGTCATTAAATCCTTCTACCCCAAACTTTGAAGGAAAATAGCCTCCACCACTGAACGCTAGGCGACCTCCGACACTGGATACATTTACTATCCTTCCCTTTGCTTTTTTTATCAAGGGAAGCATATTTATTGTAACATTTATGAGTCCAATTAAATTAACTTCAATTGGTTCTCTAAAGTGCTCAATATCCAACCAGTCTGTAGGAGCTGATGGCCCCAGAATCCCGGCATTATTGACAAGTCCCCAGAGACCTGCAGGGAAAAAAAGAAGAAAGTCAGCAAGCAAATTTTCACCTAAGGTGTCAGATAATTAATTGAACTGGGTGAGACTTCACAGAAAATCAGTGAGGGACCAAGAGGGCAATGAAGGTTTGGAGGAACTGCTTGAGAATGTCCTGCAGTATTCAGCTTTATTCTCAGCGTCCAGGTTTTACCACCACACTTTCTGTCACCCTTTGTGTAGTCTTCTCCCTGCTGCACCATTTTGGGCAAGGGGTGGTGCTGGCTTTTTTGTGGGAGAAAGGACAGTAGAGGAAGACCAGGTATGGCAAAGAGCAACTATATTGTGACAGGAAATGTGTAAGGAACAGATCTGGTCCTTGGTACAAGTAGACTCTCCCGAGACACAGGTAAGTGTGGTTCTCAGACACAGGTTCTGAGATTATGAAGTGCCAGGACAATAAAAAACAGCTCTTTAAAAAAAAATCCTTTGCAAAGGTTTGAAAACAAGATGGGAGCTGTGACAGAGAAGGCTTTTGCTATTCTTTTTCTCTGCACTGACATTTTTCTTGTAGCAGAGAACTCATACCTCACATTGACTGACATGCCCCAACTGGAAATGGGAAGGTTTTGTTTTCAAATGAACAGCCAGCTCCAAAAAATGAGGTGGAGCCAGGGAAAAACCACTAGATTGATTTGAAAAACATTTCTGAGCCCTCAGAAGTGGAAGGGGAAAATACAAAAATGTAAACCCAGTTCTCTTGCACCAGCTGTTAGAGTTGTGTGAATAAATACTTTTGCTGGTCTGATCTTACTCATTCTTCTTCTTGGGGAAAAAATCACTTTTGGCCTGAAACCAAGCACAGTTTCAAATAAAAGCAATTTGGCAAGTTATAAGGAATTTTATGAAGAGACAAAAGGTCAAATGGACATTGGAATTTAGCGTTAAGTATAATTGGTACTTTGGCACATCATAATAGACCAGATTTAAGACTCAAAGTTAGCAGAATCCAGCCCATAGGATCTTGGGCTTTTGTAAACTCTACTGCAACACCACTCCTACTGAAATCAGGCAGTAGTAATGGCATCATTAACACATCATTAATGCATCAGTCATGGCAGCAGCGTCTTGTCTTGCTCAACTTGTTGGGTCAGAGATATGGGATTTTTCTGTTTTTCAGATGGTTTGCAAGCAATATTCCAAAATAATTATATTCAGATTTATTCAATAGAGTTCTTATGTATTTTTTCCTTTTGATAGAATGAGTGATTACGTACAAGTAATTTATCACATGTATTCAATTTTTAAAATAGGCACTCCTTAAGCTTGTTAAGTGGAATTTATTTAATTTGTTCTCTGGCGCGGTAACACAGCATGGGAGGCGCTGAGCGCTCGTGCCATAACTCAGATACGCATGCGAGTGCAAACAGTCCCGATGAAGGTTCCAGGAACTGTATTCCTGTTCTGACAATGATGTATTAATAAGCCTGACTTTTTAAGCACATTCCCAAATATTTGCCTACCACTAACTAGATGTATAAAACATCCCTCATGTGAGATCTTCTTCCATGTTTCTGGAAGGTGACAGGACATCCAAACACACTTACCAAATGTCAATTAAAATAAGCTGTGAACATAGCATGGTATTTTTAGGAAAACTCTATTGGGTTTTTGTTGTTTTGGTTTGGTTTGGTTTGTTTTTTTTTTAAAGAAAGATATCCTGGCACTCACCTTCTGACTGAACTTCAGCTTTGACCCATGCAGCCACTTTCTTAACACCGTCTGAATCTCTCACATCTAACAGCACTGTCTGAAGCTGCTTCGAGGTCACAGCTTTTAGCTCTTTGGCTCCAGTTTCAGTCAGACAACTGGCAAAAACACGGAATCCCTTTTTATCAAAAATCTTTGCTGCCATATTTCCAAATCCTGTGTCGCATCCAGTGATGAATATATATTTTCCAGTGAGATCTGTAACCTTCATCCTGTCTCTTGCCCTCCAATGCCACCACAAAGAGATGATGCCAAGAAAGAGTAATACGTAGAAAAGCATTTTTACTGAAGTCTTCTGGTCACGCTCTTCTGAAATAAAAAAAAAACCAAACAAACAAAACCCTGATAGTTTTTAAGAGATTGTTAGCTGTTGGGTTTTTTTCTTTTTTTTCTTGAGTTGGCTAACTGCAACTATTCAGAGAAGCAGGCACAATTCAGAGCAGTGGCCTCCTTTTGCTAAAACAAACAAACAAACGCAAGCCCTTTCTTGAGCAGAAATGAGAACTGGAGATATATTGTAATTAGGTTGCCAAGAATAATGCATATTAGGTTACTGCTGCCAGGTTGGTAAGCTCCCATTGAACATATCTGGGAGAAATGCTGACTAGAAAAGAGTAGCAAAAATGAAATATTTGCCTGGAAACCAACAGAAATGTCTGAACTTTGTGTCAGTTCATAAAAAATTAAAGAGTAAGTCTGGGGCCAGCTAGCAACAAGACGTGAAGCAAGATCAGCAAGACCCAGAACCTTTCTCGTTACCGTGGATACTTAGGCAATGCTAGCCAGGAAAAATTTTTTACTTCATTTTACTAAAACCTTTGATTGTCAGTGCCAGACTCTCAAGAAAAGAGGGCAGCAAATGCTGCCACTTTGCCTCTCAAGAAACAAATTCCCACCAGCTAGGCTGTGGGAGTGGGCATGTGGTCCCTGAGCATAGGGAGGAGGGTGCAGGTTGGAGCACTTCACCTGCCAGAGTGAAGCTCAGGCAGTGTGACAACATCAATACGGCAAAATATGTTTGGGAAGAGCCTGTGTACCTGGGATTATACTCCAGTTGACTTAATAATGAATTTATAAGTAACTATTGATGATGGATGAGATTCCGCTTAGAGAAAACAATTCAGTTATACTTCTTCATGAGCGCTCATGGCCAGGAAAACAGGAGGTGCATTATGCAATTGACTGAAAAAATAATTTTAAATAGATGTAAAGGAGTACAGATCTTTTTAGAGATTGCTAACAGACATTTCATCTCTGCAGGGCAAGATGCAATGAAGTTGCATTTACTATGGCCAAATTCTCCTCAGGCAAAACTTAATTTGAAAGGAAATTGCAAACACCTTACATGGTTTTAAGCATCATAATAGAAACAGGAACACTGCTGTTATATTCTGCACGTAAAACTGCTTTCTGCTCTGACACGGGAGGTTCAATGTATCTTCATTTTCATTGCAAGCCCTGTGGCTGCTCATGGTGCTTGTTTACATAAATACGCATGCTGGTGAAATGCAGTTTCTTGTGCTGGCTGGAAGTTACCCAGGGAGTTGCTAAAGTTGCGATGCAGAGATGCTGCTTTTTGTTGCTTAACTTCCTTTGCAGCATCAGTAGTGCTATTTCAGATTAGGGCAGATTAGGTAACTGCCCTCTCCGTGTAGTATTTCATGGTTCTTTTGTTACAGCAAGAAAATTTTTCCCTCGGCATGTGTACGCATGCATAACAGATCAGCACAGCAGCTGGCTTTCCTTCTCCTCTGACCCTTTTTAAAATTGCCATTTTCATCATGATATCCCTCGCTCTGCTCGGAGTTGCCATATCCCTTTGCAGCCTTCTTTCACCTGCAGCTGAAATCTGGGCAGTCCTTGGCTGTTACCCACCAGAGCCGGGGCCAGGCTTGCTCCTAGAGGCTGTGTGGAGACTTGCCCTCCTTGGCACGAAGACAGTGTTTCCCTGGCACTCCTGCCCTCCCACATGTTCCTGTCCCTGGACCTCAGCCATGCCAGGTAGCTGCACCTTGTCCGTGCTAAAGCCTGTGCAGGGTCTGGCCATGGCGGCAAACCGGGGAGCCCAGGGATGGAGAAGGTTTGAGAAGAGCCCCTCTAGAGAAGAAGGAGATAGCGCTGTGTTTCATCATGCCCTACTTCAACTGTAAAGTATATAAAAAGTATAACTAGTAAATTAAGATAAATAAAGCAGGGTTTTGGCCTGATCTGTAATCTGGTAATTAAATAAAAATAAAAGCCAATTTAGCTAAACTGAGGGAATAGGCTTGCCTAGGTCTGGTTTTGCCATGGCAACAGGCACATCTATGGGGACAATAAGGGTTAACTCCTGGTCCCTGTGACCTTTAATCAATGGGTCAACGGGACTTTATATCAAATTAATAAAGTGCTGAAATGACAAGGCTTTCAGTTAGAGTGCTTTGTACAGGCTGTGTTTCCAACTCCAGCCTGCCAGGGGGACTGGCAGGTCCAGTGCCTGCCCACAGTGGCCCAACTTTGCAGTGTAAAGATCTATCTTCAAGTTTTTATAGGGGCTGCAGACCACAAAAAGAAAGAAACCAAAAGGGTCATCAAAAAAAACCCGTATTTTTCTCTGGTTTCCTGGCAGGAGAGTGATAAGAGGCAGTCAGTCAAAAGCCCCAAAGGCGTTTGGGTGGCGGCATTCAAAAGTGGTTGAGAAAGCAGAGGCACAGGGGACAGCCAGCCTCATGTGGACATGTCACCTTCAGACAGTGACAGGCGAGGTGACTGCGGGGCCGGTTGCCCAGAGGGTGGGGCAGGCACTCTCAGAGAAAGAATTTTTTTATTTTAACATGTTGAGTCACTTAATTTTTATATAAAAGTTATAGTTTGCATTTAAAATTTACTTTTTTTTTGTTTTGGTTATTGTTGTTTTTGTTGTTTTCCTATCCCTGCTATTTTTATTTGCACAAGTGTTGGAATAGAGAAAAAAATCCTTACTGGCTGCCCAACTTAGGTAGGATAAACGGGATAAGTGAGTGCATGTCCTGCTTCTGGTACATCCCAAGACCAGATGGTGAGAGGCTAACTATAGAAACAAGGCCAGTAACTAGAGGTAAGTCCCTTGCTTCCTACCTCCCAGCCCCCCGGCTGCACCCACTCCAGACGGTATTTTGCAGTTTCAGTGCAGCGTATTTTTATGACCAAGAAATAAACATACCATGACTTAGCGTCTCTGATCGTGATTTAGACCATGGAAGAAGAAAAGATGTGCTTGCCTCCCACTTGGAGCCTCCCAACAATCACCGACTTGGACTTTCTACTTTCCATAACAAGAGAAAGTCACGATCACAGAAACATCCCCATTGTGCCCAGAGGTACTTTTCTTATTTCACTGTAAGGAAAGTATCTGCTATTCAGTATGAAGAAATGTAGTTTGATTGCAAAAAAAAAAAGGAAATTGACTTCTTGTCAACGAACAGCTTTTTGCTTGCAGCAAAAATGATAACACCCAGCCATCAAAAGAGGAAGTCTTGCTCTTAGGTAGAAAAAGGAGGTTTCTGTGTGGAACACTTGCTAAAGATCTTTGGAAAGGACAGTAACTTTTTTGAAAGTCATGCTGCGTTGAAGGAAATAATGTACATATGCACCTCATGGGATTGACATAATTCCATTTTTAACAACATAAATCACAAATCAGTGTAAAATTCACTTTGCATTGTACAAAGTGAATACGAAGTCATGTTTGTGTAAGGGCTGTGGTGCCAAGAAAAGGATGAAGACACAGCACGTAGGTACTTGCCAACCTGACCAGCTCTGTGTGTGTGTACTGACCTTTCCTGCAGCTTCCCACTCCTCTCGTCTCTGCCCTGATCAGAGTCCCACAGAGGAGCTTGCTCTCTTCCAGCCCGGTTTTGGTGGTTTTGTCCTCTAGATACCTTTATAACTGTGATAATTTTTTTAGATGAATTTTGTAAACAGCGTTTAACACGCGACACTCCAAGAATACATGTGGAAGTCACAGAATCACAGAATTTTCAGAGTTGGAAGGGACCTCTAGAGATCATCTAGTCCAACTCCCCTGCTAAAGCAGGATTGCCCAGAGCACATTACTCAGGACTGCATCCAGGTGGGTTTTGAAAATCTCCAGAGAAGGGGACTCCACAACCTCCCTGGGCAGCCTGTGCCACTGCTCTGTCACCCGAACCGTAAAGAAGTTTTTCTGTGTGTTGGAACGGAACTTCCTATGTTCCAACTTGTGCCCATTGCCCCTCGTCCTGTCACTGGGAACCACTGAGAAGAGTCTGGCTCCATCCTTCTTCAACCCACCCTTTAGATATTTATAAGCAATAATAAGGTCTCCCCTCAGCCTACACATTGCCTAATAATTCAAGCTGCAAACTGTATCATCTCCTTTATTTGAAATGTTCCTTACCTTAAATCAGGGTACCAAAAGAGAGCTGTAACTTGCTTTTATTTAGAGTTCACTTTACTTTCACCTTCATACTATTTAGGTGAAAAAATTGTGATAGTCTGGAGAGTAAAATAACAAAAAAAATATTTTCAAAATCTGGGAGAAATAAAGAAACACCAAAGTGTTTTCCTTTGTTCTTCAAAGGATCAGAGGACAGGCAGATAAAGCATTATGCAGAAGCTTTCTGCCTTACACTTCTAACGCTCTGAGGTGCTATCGCTGTAAGCGGCATGGTTAAGATGAGGATTATACTCAAACTAAAAATCCGGTGTCTGGCTTCTTGGCCCTGGAACCGCTGTGTGCTAGCTACAGAAATAAATTGGGCTATGAAAGGTTAAAAAAGAAATTAATGAAGCATAAGAGCTGTCTGCTCAATGCCTTCTGTCAGGCAAGAGAGTCCAGACCGCTGTAATTGCACACAGACTTTAGTGCAAAAACACAGAAACAAGCTGCTCATCTGGAGCCTCAGCCTGCAGCGGCAGACTGACTCTGTTCACCTGGTGGAAAACCACAGCCACCTGCTCCTCCATAGCTGTGAGTGCTCAGTGCAAAGTTTCTGGCTATCTATCTTTAGGAAGCTTTGGAAGCATTTTATTTGATTGCTGCTACTAGCTGTTGTCAATACCGGAATAAAGATCAATTATAGAGTACAGCTTACAGCTGAGGAGTCCTGTGCCAAAAGAACATGTGGGCTTTCATTTCTTACTGAGAAATTATCTGTCAGGGAATAACTAAGATTAATTTGTATTCACTTGCTCTTACGAACTGTTGGAGAAAATCCAGAGAAGAGAGGATACCTTCATCTGGAGTGGTAATATGCTGGAGTAAAAAGCTCCTCCAACTGGGGGAAGAAGCAGTTATTTTACTG